GAAAATTGCGGCCATGCATTCATTACACACATACACACACACACACACACATCCTGCCTTTTATAGATAGAGATATCTCGGATGTTTGGCAACTACTTGATAAGTGGAATGGCTATGTAGATGTATCATTGTAAAACACAAACTGTACGGCTGGAAAAACTTATCACATGACTTGATGGTAAATAAATAGATGCCTCCTGGTTTACTTCTGTTGCGTATTTTGAAATAAATGTGAGAAAGAAAAAAAGTATATATAATAAAAATATAATTATTTTGAAATATAACCTAGAAAAAAAATGAAACTAAGTGCACAAAAAGGAGGCATCCATACTTTATGTTATTTCAATAAAGATGCATCTCCCTAAACAGTTTTGTTTTTTAGTTTTGTTTTGTTTTTTTTTTTTTTTTTTTTTTTGGTGTGACCTTCACCTTTGAAAATTATAATATGGTAAATACTAAAATTGATATAAATTTTTGCTCCAGAGATACTGTAACAAGATTGATGAGTTGTGTGTTTTTTTTTTTTTTTTTTGGTAAGTTACCTCATTGTTATATATATTTGTAGATGATAGAGGATTCCTTTTCTCTTTTTTTTAATACTGAAAATGAAATAAATATAATGTACAACAATAACATAAAGAATAAGTCTTTGAGACATGTGTTGACATTAATGATAGGAATGTGTATTTTTCTTTTCATGATGTTAATTTTGTTTCTTTAAAAGTTGGTGCTTACTTTTTTTTGCTTGTTCTGAGAATTTTGTGGTTAAGGGAAGCATCTGAAACCATTAACTGTCTATTTTCATGGAGCAATGGCGATACATCTGTGATGTTCTTTTTTACTACTGCAACTCTATTCTACTCTACTGTCCTTGCTTGTGGTGGAAAGGTCATTTTTATAATGATGAAGTTACAGATTTTTATGATGATGAAATATCATCATCATATATCATCAGTGGTGGCCAGGTTGTTTTAGAAAGATGAAATTTTAATTTATTTTTTCTAGCTATGTAATAAATATTCATTATTGATATTTTTCTATTTTATGTGTCGTAGCCACTGCTAATGTACAAAATTATTTTCGAAAATGTTTCCCTATTTTTTACACATGGATGAATCTGTTTTAGTATCATATAATGCTCCAAGTAGCTGCTAACATCTTGTGCCGAAGATGATGTACCGTTGCACAGAATGCACCAAATTTAAACATTATCGTTTTCCTTCAAGTGTATCAAAAATATTAAAATGTCAGTTTCCAATCTGACCGGGTAAGTGAAGACACACTGTGCTTATTCCACAAGCAGCCAACCACATTGACTCATAGATGAACAGTTTTTTGAAAGTGACCATCTGAATAGGTGAAACGAGTGTTGTTCTGTGCAGACCCCACCCCAGAAGTAGCCACAATGATGCACACAAAGTTCATGTTGTCTTTGATGTTGAGGATCACGTGCAATGAAGGCCTTGTCATGCCAGTTCTTCCAGCCACGCCCCAGGATTAATGCTACCGGCTACATGGAGGTGCTGGAAACAATGGTGAAGTCCTGGATCATAGGGGTTGCTGTATGTATTCCAGTAGAACTGTGATTCCTTCTACATGACCCATATGATCAGAAATATCTCCTAGCTCTTCTGATGGCAGTGAATTAAGAAACTTAAAGCAATAGAAATGTGGTTCTACAGAAGGATCCTGAGAATTCAATGAACTGAACATATGAGCAATGACAAAGTTTTAGAGAAAATGGAAACAAAAAAGGCACTTGTACTTAACATCAAGAAGAGACAGTTGAAATTTCTAAAACACATAAGAAGGAACAAGGGTTTGGAAAATTTGATACTCACAGGACAGATTACAGCTAAGAGAGACAGAGGAAAACAATGCATAACCTACCCAGTGAAACTTGAGTAAATGGATGGCGGAAAAAGATTTAAGAGAGATAACAAAAAGATAAAATTTATTAAGCACTACAAAAGACAAAAAATTGTGGAGGTCCATGATTGCAAACGTTCAGAAAGGACACGGTACATAGAATAAGAACGTTGTTGATAGAAAGAACAATGAGAAGCCTTACAATACCAAGGAATCTTTGAAGGCCACTATTGTGGATGTATTGGCCAACATGAATAAGAACTACTCCAAGCATGCCGTCAAACTTTATCTTACTCTCCACATATCCCACAAAGATACCCAAGTTTAGGGACATGTCTTGCCATCCCAATTTTTCACGTATCTTCAATAACAATGCTAATGCTACTACTTCCATTGAGGTGCTGAACACTATTGTCAAGCCCTCAATCGATACCTCCCACAGAGCCCATATGATCTGGGACTGGTTGATCATGAATTTTTATGATCATCTCACCCTGACAATATATCGTCTACTAGTGCATCATCAAGATGGATACCAACCAACAAACCAACAATACCATGATCGCCCACATCCTGAAGGGACATAGCACATAGAAGAATTAAACATGCAAATTATTTTTACCAGTGTTTTTTTCATTTTTGATATTTTGGAGCTCTCTAATTCTTCTTGATTTAATTTTACTTTTTTTCAGTCATATTTCAATTGACTGCCAAGTAGGATTTTTGACACCTGGCCCTCTTCACTTTCAATCATGGTTCCAAATCTACCAAACAATCTAACAAGAAATTTGTACCGTGTGTGGAGAAGGCGCTATTATAGAAAGATCTACACAGAAATGCTTTTCACACTTCAAAAAGAGAAATTTCAACCTCGCAGACTCTCTGTGTTCTAGGCAACTGATTCAGTTCAATGATGACCAATTTAACGAGCTCATCCACATGGATCCGTGCCAATCCACTATGGAATTAGCCCAGCAGATGGGATGGTCTTGTGATACCGTTGCTTGATGGGTTATGTCCAAAAAATTGATGCATGGGTGCCAATTTGAACAAAAGAGACAAATCCCACCACTCCTCCATTGTTGCCAGTTTGCTCATTTGACACAAGGACTCACTCAGGGACATGAACAGAAATTTATTTACTGCATCAACACTAGCAATAAAAAAATGGTGTATTTATGTCAATATGAATTAAAGATGAAATGGAGATCAAATATGGATCGGAATCTGACAAGATGATATGATAAATAATTAATAAGAAATGTAAGTTCTGTCTTTTTGCATGCATTCTCTCAATCTATAACGAAGCTTTAATAAAAGTGAAACATGTTAGATTGTTATACATTTCCTATTGGTTATCTTATCATTATGTCAATATATATATATCTATCATGAATTCACATTACCATCCGATGGCCTGAGAAAAAATTGAAAATACCAGTGTTTCTGTCTTTTTGTCTGCTTTCCCTCAATATCTGATGCAGCTTTAATAAAAGTGAAACATATTAGATTGTTATACGTTTCCTATTAGTTATCTTAACATTATGTCAATATGAAACAGATGAAAGAATGGCCAAGTCCTGACAAGCAAAAAATGCCTCAAGCCACGCTAGAACTGCATCCACACATGGTAGTGATTTGGTAGGACTGGGAAGGGCCAATCCACTACAAAATGATTGAGAACAACCACCTGCTCAATGCAGAGCATTACATTCAGGAAATGCACTGGCTCAACAAGGCAATCCAGCTGCAACGACACGGCTGGTGTGTTTCTTTAACATGACAACGTCACTAATTTGACCAACAATATTATTCAAAAGTTTGATTGGTACTGCACGCACTGAATACTCCTGGTTTAGTACCTCCACAATATCACCTTCTTCGGTCAATTTTCAACAGTCTGCGAGGTGTTTTGTTCAACAATGACATGGAGTTAAAAACATAGCTAGATGAATTTTTCAAAATCTGGTGGAACTTTGAATGAAGGTAGATATGTTATTAAGCGATTTGTTAAAACCATTGATAATAAAATTAAAATAAATGGGAAAAAATGAGTGAATTTAACTGACAACCAAATATACATTGCATACTAAGTATAATACTAAGCTACTTTTCAATATATCTTTACTTTTATTAAATAATTGTGAAACTATTGTTATACATTGTTATATTTAGAACTTTTTCTAAGAGATGTATTTCTGGATTTCTTCCAGTTCTTCATCCTCAATTTTTAGGACCTTTGTTTTATTTTTGTTCATTTAAGACTACACTGAGACTTGCTCTATTCATATCACTTAACATTTCTGGTAACGCATTCCAATCTTAATAAAATTAGTAAAATTATTCTCTTATTAGTGAAATGTCAGCAAATTGTAGAAAGTTAATTTGTTCATGTTTACTCACATTCTTTTCCAGTTCATCTTCCCAAAGATATTTTTAAAGCATAAAATTAAATGAAATTGTATCTCCCTGTCATACTGCTTTTTCAATCTTTATTTACCTTTTTATGCATTTGAATTATTGCAATATTGTTTTTTCCATATATTCTCAATACATTAACAATAATTTTTGTTTATATTATGCTCTCATGGTGAGTTTAAGACTGCTGAGTGTTCTACAGAATTAAATGCTTTTTCATAGTCAACTTTAAAATGGTATATTTAATAAATGTGTTTTGAATAGTTTATTCCAAAATAAGAAACAAATTATGAAATAACTGAAACCGAAATTATTTTTGTACAAACCCAATATAACTGTTGTTGTTATGATGATGATGATGCAGTTGCTGTTAACAAAAAATGCTTATAAATCACAGTTTATAAATCATATCAACAAACCCAAGAGAGTGAGTCTGGCCAAGTCCTTTTCAGTCCATAATGTCCTCCTTGTTTGAAAATTATTACCAAATTTGGTTGCTTTTATTATAACACTCTGGATTTGGATGTCCTCTGACTCTCAAAGAATCACAGATTTTCTTAATATTTTTTAATATTTTTCTTGTCTTTTTTTTTGCTTGTTTTTTTTTCCTCCATCTTTTTTATTCCAACTTTAGGTGAAATAGTCCTTGACTGTCAGAGTCAGAATAGTGTGAGGTAGAAATAAAGAAATGTATTCTGATGAGTCATGTGAGACTAGGTATCAGCAAGAAAATTCTGAAGATAAGCAAGTCGTTCTGAAACAGAAGAAAAATATAAAAATAATTTGAAATAAAAATTAATACCAAATAATTAGGTGTACTAGCAGTCCAATAAAAATTTCACAGTTTTTCTATTTGAATTTTCTGAAGAATCACAATTCTCAATCTAATGATTAAATAAGCTTTTCAAAAGTTCCCCTTACAATAAAATGCCCATGGAAATTTCACTATTGCTTTAACAGTATATTGCAATAACAATCCTAAGTATTAACACAGTGAATAGTGAGTTTGATCCTTACTGGGTGCCATATACCTTCGGCTTTGTGCCACATCTATGCGACACTTACAAAAATCACCATGAGTATTAACACAAGTCATTATTTAAAGAAGTAAGAGGGTACAAGAAAATATTAAAAACTGATATGGTTTTCTATTTCACTGAGGCAGACATTAAACAAATGAGAGTTCTATCACCTCCACTTTCTTCCTTTGTGCTTTCCTTCTACTCTACCCTAAAACCAAACAGCATTTATGATATATCTTTTTTCCCCATCTTTCCTCACAATCCAAATGGTATGGTTCATTGTTTATCTGATGTAATATCATGGCATACCTATTACACAAACAAGCAGAATTATAATTCTTTTTTTTTGTTTTTAATATTTGTTATAAGAGGTGTTAGTCAAAAGCTTGAGGAATTTGAACAGTATCACTGAATCAAATGCAGTACAAACTTTGAGAATTACCCTTTGTGAGCAGCATACTGATAGGGAGTTTCTATTTTTTCATTCAAAGATGATGGAATTAGGTGTAAGATGTAAGAAAAGATGTACTTTTTTCATAGCTTATTTCCCAAAACTTTCAGGTCATACTTATATATATATATATATATATATATATATATATATATATATTCATTCTAAGAATTAATCTATAGAAAAAGGCAATACATATATAAAGGAAAAAAGACAATAGGAAAAATGTATGTTGTTTTAGCAGTGTTCTGTCCAATGTAAACTTTTTCAAGCTAAGAAAACAAAATGACTTTATTCAAAGTATTTATAAAGAAAAACAAAACGTTGTTAGTTACTAGAAGAATTTAGAAACACTCATATATATTCATTGAGTCAACTGTAAAATAACATCATTTACTTTTTATGTTTGAAGAGAATTTTTCATATATAGAAATATTGTTTGGATTGTTGTGTTAATGGAGTCAATCATTTTCTTTTCATTTCTTGTTATATTTGTTGTGTATGTTGGATTGGAGCAGTAGTGATTCTGTTAGGAAAGCTGAGATTGGGAAAAACCAGGGCATAGATTAATATTTGAATAATATTCAATGGCGACACTTTCAAGGATTTTCATTCTGAGTGAATTATTTAACTTTTTTATGAGCGTAGCTTTTTTAAAATCAAAATTGTGGTTGATTTATTTCTATGTATCACCAGTGCATTTGTTAAATTGTTATTAATGAGGTCTCTTTTGTGTTCATAGATGCATTTTTTAATTTCTGTATGTTACTCCAATGTATAGTGAGGAACAGTTTTGGCAATTTATTTTATATATGCCTGCTTCTGAAATATTATTATTATGAGCCTTTTTAGATCTAATTATATCCATGATGAGTTTTAGTTATGCCTTGAAGTATAAAAGGTTGATAAACACTGATTTAATACTTAAATGTTTAATTTGTATAATGTATTTTGTAAAATTTAATTATGCGATGTGATAGAATAACCTGCCACCCCCATGAGTGGCGGCACTCAAATTAAAACATTAGCAACTAAGATGCAGCATCAGGTTTCTCATTAAAAAAAATATTGGTAAGTATATGAGTGACCCATTTATGTTTAAGAAAAATTTTAAAGTACCAAAAATGACCCAGCAATTATAAAGGTTTGCCATCTCTGATATAGGTTAACTAACAATCTTTTTCTTTACATATATTGTAACCAATTTGCTTAAAGTTCATATTTATTGATTCCAGATGAAAATTTGTAAATCTTCCACCATATTTCAGTGAAATTTTCACTTCTCAAATTAAAGAGTTTAAAAAAGGTTGAGAAACGCTGTTTTAACCCCTAACTAGCAACCACTGAAAAAGGTGACTAGCTATGAGTAATCTTATTCAAGGGAGGTAATACATTTCAACACCAAAAAGCAGTGCTCACAAATTTCTGATTTCGATCTCATTTCAAACTATAAATAACACAGAAATGTTTTATTCATTGTTATTTATGTGAATTGTTTTATTCAGTTATTTATGCAAAATGTTTTATGCAATGTTATTTATAGAAAAGGTTTTATTCAATATTATTTATACAATGTTTTATTCAATGTTATTTATGCAAAATGTTTTATTCAACATTATGTGTAATATTTTATTCAATTTTATGTGAAATGTTTTATTCAATATTATTCATACAAAATGTTTTATTCAGTGTTATTTACACAAAATGTTTTATTCAAGATTATTTATGTAAAATGTTTTATTCAATGTTATTTATACAAAATGTTTTATTCAAGATTATTTATGTAAAATGTTTTATTCAATGTTATTTATACAAAATGTTTTATTCAATATTATTCATGTGAAATATTTTATTCAATGTTATTTATGTGAAATGTTTTATTCAATATTATTCATGTGAAATATTTTATTCAATGTTATTTATGTGAAATGTTTTATTCAATATTATTTATACAAAATGTTTTATTAAATCTTATATGTGTAATATTTTATTCAATGTTATTTATGCATGATTTATATATTTAAACAGAAATATATAAATCTTTACTTATAAAGAAGAATATCTTCAATAACATTGGTGAAGGTTGTTTGCATCTTAGAATAGATTGAAGAAAATCAAATTCAGTTTAATATTAGTTTTTAATTAAGAAAATCAGATTCAGATAGAGTGCTTATTATGCCATGGTTGGTCTCATAAACTAAATGACTGATGTAGTGCATTTGATACTTACATGGTACCTGACTGTTGTGACCTTGTGCCAGACTAAACAAAGTAAATATTCATTTGGTGGATTAGATAGTAGCATGTTTTCTGCATTTGATGGGAGAGAGACTGTGATAGGCTTAATGATATGAGAACTAATTTAAAGATCTTCAAAAAATTTACCTTCAAATTTTTCAAGAATTTTAGTATCTGCTTCAATCCATGTCGTCATACATTTCTGCCAAATTTCTTCATCCTTATAATTCAGAGTGTCCAAAAATTCATACTTTAGGCAAAGCCTAGAGAAAGCTAAGGAATTGTAAAGTATATTCCCATTCCTCACAAAATTAATACTAATACAATGGGTGATATTTAAATACCATGATAAAATTTTTAAAAATAGAAACATTAAAGAGTTAAACATCTAAAACTAGATACATTGGACATCAAAATTTAAATTTAAAGGCTGAGCATCTCTGTATCTTTGATGCTTTGATGTAAACTGTAACCAGTGCTTGTTGCATTGTATCTTTACCTTTTTCCATCAACAAAACTGTCTGAAGAAGTCCCTTCCAAGAATGAAATATGGCACTATCTATGTGTAATGTTTTATTCAATTTTATTTATGTGAAATGTTTTATTCAATATTATTTATACAAACTGTTTTATTCAATTTTATTTATGTGAAATGTTTTATTCAATATTATTATACAAACTGTTTTATTCAATATTATTTATACAAACTGTTTTATTGAATGTTATTTATGCAAACTGTTTTATTCAATGTTATTTATGCAAAATGTTTTATTCAATGTTATTTATACAAACTGTTTTATTCAATGTTATTTATACAAACTGTTTTATTCAATGTTATTTATACAAACTGTTTTATTCAATGTTATTTATACAAACTGTTTTATTCAATGTTTGCCATCCTCCTGTTATCACTTTAAACCTAAACATTATTGTATATTTATTTTTTTTTAGTCTTTTCATTCAAGTACTAAAGAATATCTTTAGAAATTTTTATATATCATTTACATTGTTTAGACTGTTGTCTTAATCTTCATTGCCATATTCATGATGTTTTGGCTGTTGTATGCTCCAGCCTTCTTCAGATGAACAAAATTTCTAAATGAACCCTTTATTTATTCACCGGGTTAGATTGTTCTAGTTCCAAGTGCCATGCCTCTTTCGGATGTTTCAGTTATCTCCCTTTAACTCAACTCTCCAAATTTTTGCTTGCCACTGCCATAGCCGGGTATTGAACTCACAACTCTTTGGGCCAAGTTACTGGCTCTGAATAACACCTTTATTCACTGGGCAATATATAGAAAATAATTTAATCTTTACATAACCTGAACATGTTGGATAAAACTATTGCAATGTTCATTTGGACTAGTTTTCCATCTTGAAAAGATCAATTAAAATTAATAATGAAAATATGACATTTAAAAATTCAGACAACTTAAAGACTATTACATCTACTACTACTATTAGACAGTAAACAAGTAATGCTTCATGGAAAAAAGTGATTATATGACAAATAAATCTAATTATTTCATGCCATTCATTCTTTAGAGTCATACCACAAAATAATATGCGGCATTTATATAAGACAGGTTCGCAAAGATCATCATTCTAATTTCTGTTTTTTTTTATTGTTCTCTCTCCTTAATGTTTTTATTTTTCTCATATACTTTCATAATGAGTCTTAGTGGCTTTATTGCCTTGCTTGGAGTGAAATGATTAAAAAAATGTATATTTACACTACAGTTCAAAAGTTTGAAGCCACCCCCAAAATTACCAACTAGATAGAAGAGTGAAAAAATAAAATAAATAAAAGAGTCATTGAAAAAAGAATGGAATCATTATTTACATTATTCGGACTATTGTCCTCATCTTTGTCGCCATATTTATTACACCGTTTCAGCCATTGTACGCTCTGGCCTTCTTCAGGTAGTTGGAATGTCGAACTTAACCCTTTATTTCGCTCACTGGGGTAGACTGTTCTAGTTCCACGTGCCATGTTTAATGGATGTCAGTTATCAGTTATCTCCTGTTAATTTCCCTCTGAAAGTTCTGTACTGCCTTAGCTGGGTATTGAACTCACACGCTTTGGGTCCTGTCACTGGATCTAACCAATGCCTTTATCCACTGTGCCATGTGTCCTTGATGGAATCAATTATCAAACTTATACTTTGAGAAACTTTTGCAATAAATGCCAAAAATTTGTGCTGCAGTAATCAAGGCGAAAGGAAGATATTTTGACGAGAGCAAAATTTAATCATAAAATGCTTTTTTTTTTGTCATAATAAAATTTCTAATAAAAAATCATGTCACACTTTTATTTTAACCATGTATAATAATTTTGTCTCATTTAAAGTAGAAAACTTTTTGAGCCAATTTAAAAAATTACCAGGAGTGGCCTCAAACTTTTGAACTATAATGTACACTGGCAGAAGGCTATTTTTTTGAACACATACAAATATGTCCACAATGTTAAAGGGAAAAATGTATTTCTTTTTCTTTTTTTTATTCATATTTATTATTTTATTTATTGATTCTATTTTATTTTCCCATGGTATCCTCAATATGACACAAGTATTAAACCCAGTCCTTGATGCCAATAGGAAGCAGAAGAATTCACAACAGAGACTTGAATTTTAAATGATTGCTTATGATGAGCTATATATTTGTATATGCTATCTGTAGTAGCCTTCTAGCCTATAAAATAATAAGAATAATAATTTGCTCCTCTTAGATACCTGCACTACGATAGAAATGGTTAGTTTCGTGACAAGAGGCACACCTATCGGCCAATTCCCACTCCTCCCAGATTTTTGAACAGGAGAAGAGGTTTATTCCTTGTTTCCTGTTTAGGATTGGGTTACCAGTTCCCTATAAATTATTTTCCTTCACTTTCACTTCTGGTAGCCCCTTGCCTCTTGGTGGCATTATTACCTTGCTTGGAGTGGTGGCACTTACTCTTTGATCCTCTAGCTCTTGAGCCTTACACGGGGTGAACATCATTGTTAAAAAAAAAAAAAAAAAAGCAAATTTTCTTTATGACCATCATGCCTCAAGAGGAAGTTGTATCCAAGGGAGATAAATCTGTATTGAAAATTGAATTGCTTGGCATTAAATAGAACTAGATTGAAAAATAAAGATCAACAATAGAATTAAGAGTGATCAACCTAATGACTGACTACTAGTCTTTGTATGTAACTGGCATACACTAACTTTTCATTTTAAAATTGATCATTAAAACAGATTATCCTCATGACGTTCACAATAAGATGAAAAACATGAGCAAAGGATACTGAGCATAAACTTCTTTTTCTGAGTCATCTACCCATTCCAACATGACTGCAAAAGTTGGATATATCCAATTTGGCCGAATCAGGTAGCTGATTTTGGGTAAATCTTTAAAGGTTCGCATTCTAGATTCATGAATTCTGTCAAACAACTTTTGGTATTCAGACCTGGAAAAGAAAAGTTTGCTATTAGAAAAAACATCATTGATTCATTTGATCCAGTTTTCTCTGTTGATTTTTATACCTTTATAGCCTATATAATCTTTCCTATATATCATATAGCCTATATAATTATATAACTATATCATATATACATTATAGCCTATATAATTTTTCATACATATGATACACTGCGTGCCAAATTATTATCGAGATAACTTTTTTTCTAATATTTCAAAAACCATCCAATCAGTTCACACAAAATTTTCACACAATATTGGCAACACTGACCTGTGCAATCACAGAAATTTTCGTACTGATCTGTGTGATCGATAATAATTTGGCATGCAGTGTATAGCCTATATAATTATATAACTATATAATATATACATTATAATAATAATCCTTCGTACATAACAAAAAACCTATCAATGTTGGTGCGACTAACAGACAATTTGCCAAAAGACCTAAAACCTTAGACAAGAAAAAATCCTGAACATTGAAAGAAAAAAGAAAAGAAAAATAGACTAAAAGCAAACGCCTACCTACACAATAAATTAAAGTGCTCAACATGGAGTGAAAACACTTCATATTGCCAACACTTAATGAAGGATAACTCAAGTCACCTACTCAAATTTCATGCTCTTGTGATGTCCATGATCAGATGATTAGAACGCGTATGTGTGTGTATATATATATATATATATATATATATATATATATATATATATATATATATATATATATATATATATATATAATATGTATGTATGTATATATATATATATATATATATATATATATATATATATATATATAATATTTTATATATATTATTTATATATTATATATCCGTGGTACTTATTGGAAAGCGCTCAATATCAGTGATAGAACTACTACTTGCGATCACCAGACAAACTGATTAATTTAATTAAATACTAATAAGTATTATAAATTAGAGTTTCTACCATTTACAAAAGTGCAATCACCAAAAACAAGCAAATAATCAGCTTTAAAATAGTAGTAACAAAAAAAAAAATTTTTAAATTAAAAATTAAAATAATAACAATTTTACCTACCATAGTCTTACACAGACCCCATCATAAAAAAAAAAACAAATGGATAGAAGATATGTGAACAAACATGCATACATATATATGTGTGTGCAAGAAAACTATTCCGATGACAATTTTCCCTCCCACTACCATAAAAACACCAATATACGCAACCATATATAAACCTAAAATTTTGAAAAAATCTATTCCTAAATTTTTCCACATCACTACCATAAAATATACCAATATATATAACCATGTATAAACCTCAAAATTTGAAAATTAATCAGTTTGTTTGATAATCATCCAGATTCAAGTAGCATGAAACCCAGGGTCACAAACTCACCTATCAAATAGCCAGGTAAACTGAATATATATATATATATATATATATATATATATATATATATATATGGTATATTATATATTGAAAAAATATATATATTATATATATATATATTATATATATATATAGTTGAACAAACCATATATATAAGGAAAATGAGGAATATAAAATATAAAGAACTAAGAACATGAAATTATTTAGGCAAAATATAATCATCCATAATTCAATTTCAGAGTCCAAAGAAAAAATATCCAAAACAATATAAAATTTATATTTATATATATATATAAAGTGCTCAATACATGAATATAGAGCAACCCATATATATATATTAAATATATATATATATATATTTATATAAACCTATATAGGTAGGTTTATATATTTATATAGTTTATATATATTTATATATATATATATATATATATATATATATATATATATATATTTTATATATATATATATATATATATATATATATATATATATATATATATATATATTAAAGGCAAAAATCTGTTGGTATATGTAATCCAAGTGGATCTTAGTAATATAAAATATTAAAACTGATCCACAAACGAGCTCAATGTATTTATTGTTTACAGAGCAAATAATTAATAAACAATAAAATCCCAACTCACCTCATATGGGGAAATAGCCTATTTCATCAGATCAAAATATCGGTCATCTGTCTTTTCAACCCTGGTGTGGACTGAGTCCATGTCAGAAACAGAAATTTCTATTTCTGACACAAACTCAGTCCACTTTTTTCCATTCATGGAATATGTCCTTGTCTGGGACATAGATGAATCCGGCACGTTTTGAATCTGGAGTCCTAAACATGGCTTCTCCAGACACAGGAGTATCTCCATATTATATGGAAGACCCATTCTTTTTTTTCACCCTGCTTTGTAATTGCATCTACACCCATCCCCACTTATTAATTTATAAAAAAAAATCCACCACCATCCCAGCTTATTTATGTTTGTAGAAAAAACTCCAAGTAAAAAGTTTCAATTTGATCAAAATGATCCTTTTGAACTGCAAAACTGATTTGATGGAAATTGTAAAACTTCAATTAAATTATAATTTATTCAATTGTAAAACTTCATTCAAATTATAATTCATTCAATTCTAAAAGGTCATTCAAATTGTAATTCATTCAATTCTAAAATGTCATTCAAATTGTAATTCATTCAATTCTAAAATGTCATTCAAATTATAATTTATTCAATTCGAAAATGTCATTCAAATTGTAATTCATTCAATTCGAAAATGTCATTCAAATTATAATTTATTCAATTCGAAAATGTCATTCAAATTATAATTTATTCAATTCGAAAATGTCATTCAAATTATAATTTATTCAATTCGAAAATGTCATTCAAATTATAATTTATTCAATTCGAAAATGTCATTCAAATTATAATTCATTCAATTCTAAAACTTCATTCAAATCTGATGTAGTGTAGATGGTTAAAGATTTTACTTACATAACAATACGGATTTCTTTGAGTTGATCATTTATTCGTTCAACAATCATATGAAGAATTTTGGACTTGACATCAGCTATTTGAGCAGGTAACTGCAACCTTTCTACATTTGCCACCTGGCATTCTCTGTATTGTTCACATAACGTGCACAATTCCTTCAGTAGACTCTCCTCTTTGTTTATGCACGTTTGCATCACAGGGATACATTCCTGTAATGTCTTAAAAGATCTGTAAAGTTTTTTGTGAAGACACTTCACTTTATTTTCTTGAGCTTCATCTAACATTGTTATATCTGCATCCTGGAAAGAAAAAAAAAAAAACAATACCAAGAAATGAGATTAACTGTTGGACAGGGGATTAGCATGATTAAAACTGGGTTGCATGTGTGATTTTAACCCTAGAACACAAACCATCAATTAAAGTTACACCACTACTAACCATTGGTATATCATATCCGATTTTGAAAATATCAAAAAAAATATTAAATATAAATCTTTATTTGAAATATTTTACAGGCAGGCACTTCAAACTTTGTACTTTGAGTTAACATTAATAGGAACTGAAAAACATTATTTAGATAAGAAAATCAGGTACTGAAAATTGTAATTAAAAATAGGAAAAATTGTGCTGGGTACTATATACCCATGGTTAGTGTTCTAGGGTTAAAACTGGGATGTACGTGTGCTTTTAGAGAGTAGTGGCTCAAGAATGAGAAACCAGAGTGATGAGTTCATTACATTCACTTACATGCAAATACTCTTTGTAAAGATATGAATCTACTTCTCCTCCTCCAGCTATGGATTAAATAACAGAGCAGGCTGAACTCTATAGCCAGGGTTGGCAACTAATCTAGATGAAAGAGAGATCTCAATTCAAAATTATAGCGAAGTAAACCTTCCCCAAAAATCACAGCCTGTCGACATGAGCTGTATACAGGAGGAGTCTCAAATAACAAAACATTAAAATGGTTCAATGTAGCTTGGTATATTCTAATGTCAACTCAGCAAGGAGTATTGGTTAGGGAGTATTTTATCATTCAACTGTGCAATGCAATAGAGATACATTAAGCAAGATCTCTATTAGATTTCAACCACAATTTAACAAGGTAGTAGCCTTTATTGAGTCATACTAATGCATGTAAAGTGGTTGGTGACTTGAGGTTTTGAGAGGCTTAATAATTCTGAGGGAAGGAGTAGAGATCTGTCCTGATGGTGTGTCGTCTTGATATATTAGAATGCCTTGCATGCTTCAACGACCCCCTCCCAGAGCTATGTGGGTGGGGGTTTTGTCTGTGGGATAGAATCCAGATGAAAGACACACCCCAGATCCTTCAGTTTGGGGGTTGTGCAGTAGGATAACAACCTACTCACTTAAAATCTAGCTTGTTACAGAAACGTCAATGATATCTTCAAACAACGACTTGGCCAAAGAAGAGTCCTCCAAAGTGGAGTGTATGATGTGTACTGGTAAAAATCCTCTGGGAAGGCAGCCGGAATGACATGCACCAAGCCGAAGATGATCGCCCAGAACCATGTTTGTTGGAGAGGTGGTGTTGCGGCCCTGTGTTCCCCAAGGAATTAAGAGGCATAATGAAAATGAAAATGAAGGAGTAGAGATACCAGAAATAGAAAAATATGGGAGAGTGGTTAATCTGATGGAAAAAGAATTTAATTTAAACCCATAAAATACTTATAAGGAGTGCCTCAAAAGAGTTTGGACTCAAATTAAACCAAGTAAGATTCAGTATAATTTAGCATAAATGACCCCACTAGCATATAACTTCTATAACCCCCAAGGAAGTTGGCATGACATGACTAATAAGTTTGCCAAAAGTCTACAGGTTTTTTTTGGTACATGCAGAGTTTTTTTTTTTTTTAGTAACCTATCCGTCGTATTTACATTGATTTCAATGTAAATTTAGGAAACTTAAAATTCTAGACCAAAACTGAAAAGCACTTCATTGATTGTTATATAACAGGAGGTTCTTTGTTTGAGAAGCTAATTAATCATGTCTACTCCAGAACTGATGTCTATATAAATGGAGTACAATGTGTAGAGAGATTATACAAATTGTATCAAACGTAAAGAAAGCATAAAAATTATAAAAAATACAATAATGACTAAGAAAGATAAAAAGATTGCAAAACGGATAACAGGCCAAATTACAACCCGTCATTTATAACCAATTGTGGCCATAAGTCAATGACAACCTGTATAATAAATGTTGAAAGGGCTTAATTAAAGGAGGGGGCAAATCATTTAGATGGTCAAAAAGTGAAAAATTAATAAACTTAATGGGGGGGGGGCATAAAATTTCATCCCCAAAATAAATATATGAAAAAAAAAAAAAATAAATAAATGCCTCCTCTTCTTGTCTATTGGGCACTTATAAGTAATATTCTGCCTCTTTTCTTTCTGTTTATATTTGTAACACTGTGTTGAATATTTTCTTGTTGGTCAATCCATTTTTCATGCTTATTACATTTTTAATTTTTCTCATGCTTCCTTTTGTGGCAATCTTAAAGCAAATTGTTTTATCGCCAATGTTTACAATTTCATTTTTGATTGTTTGGTGACTACTGTTCAAGTTTTTCACAATTTCTGGCATCGTGTTCCTATCCTGCAATAACCTTGCAAAATCTTGTTTCTCTTGAGATTATGTCTTCCTTACAACAAATGGCAATGTTTATATATTCAGAATTAAAAACAAAAGCCAATAATTATACTATTATATATATATATATATATATATTGGTATGTCAACTTTATGAATTTAATCACTTTTAAATCCATTTGTATTCTGTGACTGATATTTTCACACAGCTTGTTGTGGGGTCACAGGTTGGTATTTGATCACTACCAGCAGGGTAACCTGACTGAAGGAGTCTAGTGTTAGATAAAACAGAAACTCTTAAGGGTCTCGGGACGTTTGCAGTCATTTTACAAATGTATTTCTAAACAGCACTAGATTGGCAGCCAGGTGTCATCATTTTACAGCTGAAATTGCTAGATGCAACCGTAAGGTCTATGCTAATAGTTTCTTCTCTCACACTTCTTGCATGTGGAACTCTCTTCCAGCTTCTTGTATTCCAGTCAATGTTAATTTTCAAAAATTTAAATGCAATGTTAAGCATCACATTTCATTTTTTTTCATTCCTGTTCTCTTGTTGTTCTCTCTCCTTAACAACATTTTTTCTTTTTCTTCAGATTCATTGACTTAGTAACCCTTTGCATCTTAGTGGCTTTATCTGGGATGAAATAATTTTTAAAAAAATATTCAGTATCTTTTTTGTTCATATTTGTAACACTGCGTTGAATATTGATTTGTTTATTACATTTTTAATTGTTCTTTTTGTGACAATCTTAAAGTCAGTTTGTTTTTCTATCATGCCAATGTTTTCAATTTCTTTTTCAATTTTTCCAATATTGCATTCTCATCACCCATGAACTGTACAATTGCTTATTTCTCATAATATCTTTTTAATCACCTAAGATTTTTAAATTTCAACCAATCACTAGTTGCTCAGTCAATGAATGCCGGATGATTCCTTATAAGGAAATGGCTAATATTATCATTACCATTAGGTAGGCTACTCACTGTTCTCTTCTGTTCTACTTGCCTTCAATACACCATGTGAGTGTCAAATTCTCCAAACCCACCTTCCTCATTATATTTATCAGAAATATTCTTGTTTCTTAATACTTTGTTTAGTTTTGGGAAGGCATCTTTCACTATACAAATGTGCCTTTGGATTTCGGTGTCACTTTTTCCATCATCTGTTATAACATTTTCCATACATTGTCTTTTTAAAATTGATAGTACTTTTTTCTTGTTATCTTTTACTTCTAGTATTAGAAGTTCCTGCTGTTTTCTTTCTGTGTCTGCCATAAACACAGTGTCATCTGCAAAGCCTATATTGTCAGGTAAATGACTATAAAACATAAAGGTATATATATATCATATGCTGGACAGTGTGTTGACTGATGGGTTGAGTGGCACCAACATTGAGTTGGGATGTGATTTGATGCAATGTTCTCCTTTGCTGGTTGGTTACCCTACTAGTCAGTTGCAGTTAGTCTGGTTCTGGCATCACCTTAAGGTTCTCAGTTTTATTGTGTCACTGATATCAGCCAGCCTAAAATGTATATATTGCTGGTATAACCCTTGCTACTGTTGTCTGCGAAAAACCAAGAACAGTTGCCACCACAGGGTGAAAGTAGTGCATATTTTGTCACTAGTATGAGTAGATTTATTTATTGCTGTGATATAGTCCATTTTAGCATTTCAAACTATTTTTTTAATACAAAACATGATTTATCTACTTTAAATCCTGTTTCCTTGATAACACAGATACACTACTTTCTTACCTAATATGTCATCTGGTTGAGTCTATTTTCTACAAGTAAGGAAAGGCAAAAAACTATGCTGGGCACTGTTGTCTTTAATGTAAAAATAAGTAAAATTTTAAAAATAAAACGGTTGGGCCTATCTTTTTTTTTTTAAATAATTTCACCCCAAGCAAGTCAACAAAATCACTACCTCTCGCCTGTGGAACTCCCTTTCCTATTCCAGTTTCCCTGAGAGCTATAATCTCCAACTATTCAAATGTAGTGTCAATCGACATCTCCAGTTGCCTTGATCTATCCACTATCCTTCTCCTCATCCTTTCCTCTATCACTCCTATCTGATCTTGCTCCAAATCTTCTGTAACCCCTTGCATCCTAGTGGCTTCCCACCTTGCTTGGGGTGAAATGCTTAAAAAAAAAAAATACAAGTTGTTACTGAGTATTAGAGAATATGAGAAAAAGAAAAACATTATTAAGAAGAGAGAACAATAAAAGAATAGGAATTAAGAAGAAAGATGATGATTGACATTGCATTTAAATTTTTAAAGATCAAACTTGTTTGGAAAGCCAGAAGACAGTTCCACAAGCAAGAAGTGCAATAGCAGAAGCTGTTACAGTTACATCTAGACATTTCAACTGTAAAATGATGAAACCTTACTGCCAAGGTTAGTACTGCACTTAAATTCATAAAGTCTAGGGAGCATGGAGGAAGGTTCATCAGAACAATTACCATGAAAATATTTAGGGAAAAGGCATGGGGGAAGCTATGTTATGTGGTTGTGGGAAAGATGCCAAGTCAGGACCGATAACATTGCAGATTCTTTTTTGGATTTCATCAAGAATCTCT